AGTTTTATACAATTTTTATAGGCGTGGCATTCGATTTTATCCTATTTCTCTCAGATATAGTAAATCGTTTTTTTCGAAACACGGATTTTTAAAACGTCATGCAGCATAACTCAAACATTTTTTAGTTATGCTTCATGCCGTAGAGCCGCTTAAGTAAAAAATGTTCCTAAAGATTGGTTGGCTGGTATTGGCATTTTTTTACTAGTTTTCCAAAATAATTTTTTATGTTTCTGATACTTCAAAGTGCGCCTGATAACCTCCTCAAACTTTAATATTCGACTACCCTTTTCCTTCCAGGCGAAGAAAATTGTTGAAAAACGTCCTTCTTTTTAGACTGTTACAATGGTTTACGCCCTTAAGCAAGTTAAAGCGGTTATTAAATTTTGCATACTTTATTAGATCGCACTTTCTTGTAATCAAGCGAATAAAAATTTTTCATTATAAAAATAATACCAATAAATATTAAATATTGTTCTTTTCATAGCTGCGATTTCAACAAATACACATTGCGAGCCTTATTTAAAGCGTTCGAAGAGAAACAGAAAAGGTCGAATTCTCAAAACATTAAGGATGCTAACGGAACGAAAGAAGATGATACGAATTCAGAAGACGAAGAGATGATACTTATTAAATCAAATGAATCCCGTACAATTCGAGGCACTAACGACAAGGATATGCAAGAGGAAGAAGAATCGATGGATGAATAAGAAACAAATTGTTTAATAAATTGGATTATTCTTTGAAAATAAACATTTTATTTACATTTGATTCGCTAGTTAATTATTATTACATTATGTCTTATAGTTTTAATTTAAAGCTTTTTTTTATTTCAAATATATTTATAGGTTTTGGTACAAAGCATTTCATTTTCACGTTAGCCGACAGTTCGTTTCATCAGCGATATTAACGATTTAATTGATACTGATTAAGAAATATATATATATATATAATTTATATATAATACGTATCACTTACTATTGTGCTCTTAGAGTAAGGAAGGTGTGTTTTCTATATTTCTATAATTTTTTTTTTGGTGAATTTTTCTTGTGGTGACGTGAATTGATTTGACTTTTTTCTTTTTTTCTCTCTATAGATTTGGAAGATGCTTAACCTTACGTTATAGATATTTTTTTATTATATATATATCTTTTTGATTATTCATTACAGTAATTCAGCTGAGTGCTATCACTTGTTAGTTATTGTGTTCGATTTTATTATTTATAGTAAAGCGCAGCTGAAATGTAACTGTCTTAAGGCACATGTTAGGCGTTTTATTATTAAACAAATTAAAAAAAAAATATTTTTAAGAAAGTTATATTCGTCCACAGGCCAATTCATATTCACCACTTCAAATTAATATATAAAAATTGCCAATTATTTATTAATTGTCTATCTGGCTTCTATCAGTTTGGCGAAGTGTCATAATACTTCAATCAACAGCATTTGCTTTAGAATGTATAATTCCAAGATGGAGGATGGAAAATTCATTCAATGAATACATCGGTGGCGAATCGGAATCATTTTATCCCTAGAATTTCTAATCATAATTGTGTACGCATTTTGTAGTTAATGATACAGATGCTGAAGATAATTTTTATTGCATAGGTGTGTGAGCGTGGTAGGTATGTTCTTTGACCGGTTTGGGTCATTTTCAAATTCTTTTCATATTTGTAGTCCATATATTCATTTTCGCGAACGGGAGAACGTATACCGCATATACTACACAGTTGGGTAGATGGACAGATGGCCAGGCGAACAAACGGACATGCTTAGGTGCGTTCCGAATTTTAGACTGGCCAAGAATTTATATACTTTATGGGGTTTTTGGAGCTTGCTTCTGCATATCATAAAGGGATTTAAAAAAATATTAAATACACGATACACTATACACTATAATATTGGATAAGGTTCAGCTGAACATTACATTTGATATTAGTACTAAATAGGGAATTGAAATGCGATTGCCTAAGATGATTGTTTTTGTAAATATGAAAAGATCTTTCGTGTATTGTTTACAGATAATTTAATGAGGCTTAAAATATAATTATTTCATTTATACAAAGTACAATTGCATGTAATATAATTAAAATTAAACTTAACAAATGATTTATTGCATAAATATTAACTATTTTGAACTAAAATGACGCACTATTTTTGTTTATTCCATTAAAATATATAATATACTATAATTAATTAATTTTTTTGTCTGAAAGCACCAATTATTAAAATTTTAATATTATCACTCGAGTGTGTATAAAATTTTATTATAATTATAAAGTCAAAGCCAAGGCTACGTAATAGGCTTGTAAAATTTAAAGTTCATACACTTGTTGACAATATTTTGTGTACAAGAGATCACTACTACTTAAATACATATAAAAACATAATAAAAAACATAGAAGAAAATTATAGTCATCTTAAGGTAGATTTGAAATATCCGTCACCTCGATTGCATATTTATTGTACCCTATACCAATTGTGGTACAAGGATATATTAAGTTTGTGCGGATGTACGCAATACTCAGGAGGGGTTAAGATAGATCCGGTCGTTTCAGAAACATTTTCTGATTTGATTTAAGCGTGTTTGTCCGTTTGGCTAATTTGTTTTTTTGTGCTCCACCTACAGGCCACAATTTTGCCGAAACTAAGTGCACTGACGTTGTTTGGCCTTAAGGCGAACGCTATTGAAAATTGCTCGGACTGGTACACTTTTTCGACCACTCCCCATAAAGCGTCTTATTTTGAAAAGTCGTTACATGGAAAAAAATTGTGATTTTCAACATTTTTCGGCAAAATTCGCTACGGAACAGTACTGGTAGTAGTAATATTCTAAAATGGTATAGAAAATTCGGCTCGGCTGAGGCAATTTTTTGAATCCTCTCTCATTCCTATGAAAATTGAATTTCTATACGGTAAAAGGGTACAAAATTGCTCAAAATTCGTTCATAATAGTAAATGAACATAGAAATTCACGTTACCAAATATGGACCACCATTTCCCGGACCTCACTCAATATAATATTTTTTAATTGCCAATATTGTACGATGGAAATTGGTGTACAGTAGCGATTGAGCGAAAAAATAACGATAGCGAATTTGGATCATAAAGGTCTATTTTTTAGACCTGAACACATGGAAAGCAACCTTTTATGGGGAAAAGTTTATTTTCCCATTTTTTTATGTCGGAAAGTAATATATAATAAAATTTTTAGGAAGTAAATTAAGTTTACTAAATTTTGATCACACCATATAACGTTTTGGGTATCCTTCAATATGTGGCCTTTCAAGAAAAGTATGGCTTCGTATAAAAATAATGTGCAATTTTTGGTGTATTATTACTAAAACGACTGCATAATTGTACTAGGCAAAGTGGTACAGAATATCTGATTGTCGGCCTTGTCCGACTAAAATGTTCTTACTTGTCTTTATACTTTTTTTTTATAAATACGACTCTGTTCAAGGATTTTGCTAATTGAAATGGTTCTTATAAATAATTGATCTAAACTTGGGAACTACTCAGGAGTGTTGGAATGAGTCGTGAGAAATGAGAATTTTTTTTTCATATTGTCCCAGTCGTCTTAGCTTTTTTGCTCAGTCACGTATGTATTGCTCAGTCACGTATGTAAGTGAAGTCAAAGTTTTTCACTGATGGATATCAAATTAAAAATTTATGGAAATAATTATATTAAAAATAATTTCAAAAATTTTTATTCATTACTTTATACTTTTGCTGGTTTTTTCATTTTAATGTATTTAACTAAAAGTTGAAAAGAATTTTCAATTTTCAAGCTTTCGTTGATGGCTTTCGTTTAATATTTTTCTATTTATAACGACGATGATGATCATTACCAAAATTTTTCGATTGTACTATGATTGTGATTTGTAGTTGTTGCTTTATTAATTTTTATTGGGTAACTTGAAGGTAATCTTTTGTTTTTATCGGAGTCCAGAAATATGTATTCTGGAACTCCCCAAATCCTAGGAGGACTTCATAAGTAATATCGGCCAATATAAGAGCACGAACACGAAAAATAATATGGGAAATACAGCCCGGGACACCTTATCAATTTCGCGCCACATAATTTTTTCCACACCAGTGTCCGTATCCGTCCAGGCTACAGATAATAAGCTTTGACGTCTTGCAGGTTTTGGCGGACCACCATTGCCCTGTAGCGATGTCTGGAATAAATTGAACAAGAAAAACCTTAGCGAAGGGATTATGCATTATAACTCTTACAGTTTGTATATATTTTATGTAACAATTTTCGAGGTACAGACGGTTTATCGATTTGTTTAACGAATTTTTAAACGAAGATATAGGCCAACGATCAAATGAGCAATAAATCACAGACGCTTGTACCCTGAAATGCTGCTAAAGTGCTAGCGTCACTGATGGAATATTTTCAAGTTGAAGACTGAAAGTGGAATAATGTCATGCTCATAAAGCGGACATGTTAGTGCTTCTCATGTCAGAATCTTTATGCTGTATGCATTTTTCTTTTAATTGCTCATTTCTTGTTCGAAAGAGGTCAGCTTCACTGGAAATTAGGAATTTTCCATGTACTTACATCCTTATAACGCAGTATATGCTTACATGTGGTTGGCTGCATAGAATAATTTTTGTTCTGCAAAGGGCTTTCTGTCAATCTTTCGCCATCAATCATAAAAGAAAAAAGTTCATGGCGTTTTTTTTTTTGCCAAAAAATAATCAACACATTTTTTTAATGAGCTTATTTAGTAATATCGTAAATAATGTCGAATCTTTTCAAAGTTTTTTATCATATTCATACTGTAATTGTCTGCTTCAGCTAAAAATGTCACGTCTTTTGTAGTATAGCTGGACAAGGTCAACCTTATCAAAGTTACGCGACATATAGCAGGAAAGGCAAACGGGTCTTCGGTTATTTTTGGTATATAAACCCTTGAAATGGCACGTAAATGGTTTATTAGCTTTTTACCGTGAAAGACAATATCTAGTCCACGAGCGATTTTTCAACGCAATGTATTAAGTCAAAAGTAATGAATAATAATGGAGGCATCGATAGTTAGTTCTACTCGTTAGAGAAAAAATCGTAAAGAAGATGGTCAGTAAATGCCTATAAACGAACTTCTTTTCTGTTTGTGTCATTGTTTTCTGCGCCTTTGACGCTTGTTTCCCGTATTATAATATTGTCTGAACTGGCTGGCAGGCGCCATGCAAAAATTTGAATGACCATATTAAAATAATGAAGAATTGCACAAGTCTAAGGCAAGCGCTCTTGCGATGTTACGATTCAAGAGAAGAGAAAGCGAAGAAGTAACAGCGTAAAAGAAGTTCGACCTCTTTCCCAAGCGCTATGGCAACAATATCTTCGTGGAATGAACCCCTGCTGGAAAGTTGCAGCCCAATCTCTTGCCTGTTGATTTCTAGCTCTCCTAATATACTAACGGACGTCTTTCGAAAGATTTTATGTCGATTTAAAGGCATTTCCAGGAAAAAAAAGTTAGTATAACTTCATGAAAGTGACCTAAGGATACATAGGAGGCTTCTATCATAAATTGAAGATTTGAAATGAAGTTTTTGAGTTGGATGGGAATTCAAAGATAGAATTACATGTCTTTTCTGTCTTTGTGCAAAACATACCATTCCGTCTTTGACGGATGTAATACGAGACTCGCTTTCGCGCAAAAACTCGGCAAGGAAAGAAAATGATAAAGAATATTTGAACAGAAAAGAGCATTTTTATAGTGCCATCACTACAGACTGATGAGAAAAAATATAACGAAAAATGTATTAAGATAAAAAACAATGCCTAGAGAACATGGCAAAACTTTAAAAAAGTTTTGTTCAAATACGATTTTTCAAACAGTCACGTAGCATAGCTCCATTATTTTTCATTTTTTTCATCCGAACCTATTACAATATCTTTAAACTTGCATTCTTTAGAGAAATACGTACGGCATTTGCAACAAGTTTATTAAAGTTTTTTTTTTTAATAACACTAGGTTTACCGGCATTTCTTATATACCTATCTCTACAAGCATCCGTCAAATTGACGGGTAAACGGAAATACGCATTATCTTTAAAAAATCGATTTATTCGAATTGAGTCTGTATTGAACAATATTAGGCTTCATGTTTATGTTTATATAAATTAATAATGATAACAATAATAATAACGGCATAGAGTAATCATATTTATTGCACACAATAATTATATACAATAATTATTGATTCTATGTTTTTTTGCAGTAGACTATTTGGCAGTATTTTCGAATTTCTGACGTTGAAGGTGACGTAAGTGAAGTGTCTGATCTTTGGCAAATGTTCTTATTTTCTCCAGCTAATTCTTCAGCTAAATAAAATAGGAACTCCTTTCTGGATATTTTCGATCTGGTGCGCTTTTTATGCAATATCCACTCGTCTATTGTTGGACCATCGGAAACCACCCCTCTTACACTTTATATTTACGTGCTATCTTATCAACGACGCCCCCGTCAAACATTGTTTTACTATAAAAAGTAATAATTTTTGGAACACTTCTATTTTTATACTTGCATGTTTAGCGCTCTGAAGGAGGACTTTTACGTGAGGCTTACTTTTATATAGACTAAGCATAGAGTTTTCTGATTTGTAGAAATGTGAGGAAAACCGAGTTACCTTGTTCGTTTTGTTTTTCGTTACTTTTGCCAATTCTCTTTCGTTTGATCGCATGGTCCCAAGCGAGGTTGTTTTTTCTGCAAGTAATTTTTAGCTAACGGAATACTCGTAAAAAATTGTCTGACGTTAGATTTCTACCTCGTTGTAAATATGGTTCGTCTTATTTTAATGTAACAAACTCGCCCAACAATTTTGGGCATAGAGTTTCACCTTTCCCCATCCAAAATATATTTTGTTTGGACATCAACTGCTAATCAAAACTTAATACCATATTTATTCGGCATATATTGTGTGAACCTGCATCGGGCTTTTTTAGGAAATAATTGCTCATCTATTAATATATCTTCAAATGGTTTAAAACAAGCCTGGCTATTAATCTATAAATCTTATCCATATCTCAGATATCAACGCAAATTTATCTATTTTTAATCTTTCGGATTGTTGATTGTTTTCATCAAAACGTATGAATCTCAGAATTTCTGTAAGTTTATCTGTGCGGATTTTATTTGCGAAGAAAGCGCGTCCCCATTTGTTCGACCATAGATTCAATGATCTCGCTTCATACGAGCACCGGGCATATAGAATTGCTATACACTACCGAATTCAGCAACTGTGATCCTCCAGTCTTTTTTCAAAACTCGATATGCCTCTGTTTCAGTGCGATCTTTGATGTGTTCCATTATGTGTCTGTCAATTATCAATTCGAGAACACTACTCACACTACCTGACATCATATTTCTTTTCGCGTGGCCAGCAGGCCCTGCGATATGCTTGAATATCATACGAACAGACGTCCTATCCCTAGATACGCCCACTTTCAGTTTTATTTACTGTTGTCCACTATTATACTAAAAATCATCCCTTGTTTCTTTGTTCACATACTAAAGATCGTCTCTTGCTTGCTTGTTTCCATAACGGCAAGCAAAAGCAATTTGGTTGAAGAGAAAAATAAAAGTAAAATAAAAATAACACTCTTAGTTAACACCTTCCTTTTACTCTTATATTTATTATTGAAGAAATAATTTTACAAACGAATTAAATGTATGATTGTTTATGAAATCAGATAGTCCGTTAACTTGATGTGGTTCGTAGGTAAACTACATATAAATTTCAAAAATTAGGAAACTTAGGAAGAAATGTGTGTGTATTCTTTGGATAAAATGATTAATTTGCGAACATGGTTAAACTTCTGGCTATAGTTTTTAAGGAATTTTTTTATTTTTATTATTTATTTTATTTTTAAGTTCAAAATCCGTCAAATTGACGGGTCCCGTAAACCTAGTGACAATAAAAGAGCGCCTTTTTTGGTCAAAAGTTTCACTTTTTCTCTCAAACACGTGCCGGTTATACAAAAATCATTCTTGTTAAGAACCCCTGCGTTTTTCTCTAGATACAGAAATGTAGTTTAAGTAATTTTCTTTTTTCCCCCTGAAGTGAGCAATGCCTCACGAGAGTAGCTCTGGTATTGCCATTTTTCAATTTTGCTGTCAAATAATTTCATTTAACAATTTTATTATTCGGCTACTTTTCTTCGCATTAAAAAAAATTGCTTTTTGCTTAGACTACTATGGTGGCGTTATCCTTTAAGGCAGTTTGAAAAGACACGGGTTCAAATAGACAATAATTTCGAATTATATACGACCTATCAAGCTGCACTAGTTGCTTGCAAAATATGAAAGTTAAGAATCGGTCACGTTTTCGGGCTACGGCGATATATGGACGGATATATGCGTGATATCAAATGGAAAATATGTGTTGTTGTTATATAGAAATGCAAATATGTGAAACCGATAACAGAGTTAGGGGTTAAGTAGAGTCATAAATAACTTTGTTGTTTTTTAAGTAGCTGACTCCCTAATTTTTGTTGACGGGTGAAGAACACCCGGTTGTGGTTTATTTAATCTGGTTTTTTTTTGCTTTTTAATGCGACCAACTACTCAAGAATTGCTATATATATGAGTGTCGCGGTGATGGCTGGAAAGCAGTATGAAGGAGGTAGAGGGCGAAAACAGGTCGGTAAGTGGTACCGAACACAGACTTGGTGATCGCGACTTTTATTTGCATAGTTAATCGGCAACTGTTTGATTTGGGTTTTATGCCAATGTCGTCTTAAACGTCAGTTCATCATTTAAGTTCATCAGTATCACTGGAAGGGAAATGTCAAACCGATTCCTAACTACTCGATCGTATATAATAAATTTAATATGAAAATTGTTTCTTTTAAAGAAGAGACCTTTAATAACACTTAAACCCGTGCATTCATTTTAGGCTGAGATTCACATTGAAGTATCGGACAAATGTTGAATTTAGAAAACTAAAGATATTGCGTTTGGTATCTTCTTAATATGTCTACGGAAAACAAACCATTTGCATATGAATTTGTATTTATATAAGGCTTAAGTATCTGCCGTGCATCCGCTGTACACATTTTTTCAGTAAAACTTACAACAGTCTTTCATTACAAATAATAAGAAAACAAGGAAAAGAGTTAATGATTTTATCCATCATCGAAGGATGGATATATTCATTTTGTCAAAACGTTTGCCACGCCAATACGGAAGCTTCAGAGACCCCAAATTCCCGATCAGCATTAAATCTTGAATCGATAGAAGCATATCCGTTTGTCCGGCTGGTCAATGTCTGTGGCAAGCACTCTCCTGGCCGCGAAAATGAAGGTATCGACTTTAAATCTGGCAGAAACATTGGAAGTTGTTATACGCAGTTTGATATTGAAATGGCCAAAATCGGTCGAAGGATGCGCCTGCAGTATAAAGTGAAGTCACCTTTGTTTTTTAAAAGATTAAAAAATTGGTTTTATTGCTTATTACTCATAACCTACAGCAGATAAACCTACAAAAATTTAAACAGATACTCTATAGGCGACGCTGCAGTGCATCTATAAAAATGGAAAAATTCGGCCACGCCTTCTCATAATTTCATTTCTTCTAAAAAGTGTTATAACGGGCAGCAGCAAGCTGCAAAAATCCCATAAAGTATGTAAATTTTCGGCAAGTTTCAAATCCGGAATGAATGTCCATCTGTTCGTCTGTCCATTTGTCTGACCGTCCAACTCTCTCTCGCACGTAAAAATGAAGACATCGTCTACAAATTTGCAAGACTGTTTGAAAATGAGCCAAACTTTTCGAAGAACACGGCTACCAGGTTCGTTTTCCGTGTTTTTTGCTGTTTAGTACAACGCTTAGACCGTACAAATTTCAGATTTTATTCTGAAAATAGAAAAAATCAGCTGCGCTCACTCAATATTATAGAGCAAAAGAATTTAGCTCTTTTTCCTTTTTCTCCCTCCAAATAATATAATCTTCTCGTTATTGTTTTTTTTTTTCTAACTATTCAAAGTAATGTACGCGAATTCTATAGTTATTCATTAAACAAATTTACCCGATACTGCTTATATACTCAATAGTAATTTTTTCTAAGTCTTTCAGGATTTAATACCTGCCCAGGTGTTGTGGGTGTTTGTGTGGCCTTGCGTGACCGAACTGCACCACCCTCCCAACTCGCTACTGTTGCACATTGACCTTTTTCCATATTGCTTATGCGCTGCAATAAATTATAAAGAAATTATTTGCAGCACTGCCTTCAGAAAATTAAATATATATAAACTTACCATTGGCAACACTTTGGGTATTCTGTTAACTTGATATTGATATTGGACATCTAAGACTTTAACTACAACGAATTCCGCTAAGGCAGCAAAAACCGATACCATACAACCAGCCATCCATAAATCCAAAGCCTTAAAACATAAAAGACCGAATTATTGGCCGAATATTTCGTTGATATTAAAATCAATTAAGTATATACCTTAACATAGGCTACGGGTGGTATATCAGCCCTCAGGCCTGTAAACATAGTAACTAATGTCAGCATACAAGTCACCAATAGAGTAACACGTCCGGGAATTGCATCAAGACCTAGCCAAAAGCTGAACCATGATAGCATCACTACCAGAGATGAAGGTGCAAACGTTTGTATGAGATGATGTCCGATTTGTCGTTCGAAACGAAAGTAAACCGTTAATCGGGAAAAATTCCCAACTTTCTCTGGCATGTAGCCATCACTTTCCTCCAATTCAAGTGGTTGCCCCAAATTGTATTGTAGCAATTTAAGTTCAGGATTCAAAGTTACCCCCGAATCAGACCAACGTAATTTCACTTTCTGATTATTTGATGAAACTTTAAGGAAACACATAAAATACGGGATATGTTTAATTATAATATGGAAAGGTATTGCAAAAAATCCTGTCACGTTAATTGAAAAGAAATTTGCTTTGAGCTCGTTATTTTTCTCTCTGTCTCTCTCACTCTTTCCAGCGCTTTTAGTCGTTGTACCGTTTTGCGTTGTTATAAATTAAAATCACTTGAACTTTTTAGCTGGAAGGTGGATATATCTTGTGTTCCATACTCTAATAGCCGATTTACCTTACTAACCCCTATTAAGAATCACTTTAAGGAAAAGATTGTAACAAAAAAGATCGGTAGGACTCGATGAAAAATTAAGGGAAACGCACATTGAACTACGTTTATAGCAATTCCACTCTTATATCAGTTGAGTACTTAATCGTCATCTTAACACTCCTGAAAATAATCGAATCACACGATAGCTATTTAGGTATTCTCTGAGAAATGGGAAAGATTAACGATGTCTCTGTGCTGTGCACCAAACAATCCCTTTTTCTGGTTACACTTTGATTTTACATAAGCCACGAGAAAATCAGCTTAATCAAACGCAAGTAATGTTGCTCATTAAAGTAGTTAATTATTAAACTCGATGTGGGTCTTTTTACACAGAGTGAAAGCCTTATGTTTTTCGATATTATTTAGACACTTTGCACTATAGTTAAATAGATTGAATGGAAGGTCAATGCCTAATGATGTCCTGATTATGAATGCTGCAACATAACCTCATAAAAACTGAATGGAAGGTCGTGAAAGCGGGCGGGCACGATGTATAAGGAGTGTTATGGAAAGGGAGGTGGGGAGAGAGAGAGAGAGAGAGAGAGAGAGAGAGGTAGAGAGAGACGCAAAGTCGGAGAGTTAAAACATTGCAATCTGTCATTTCAAACAAAAATATACGTTTAGGACTTACAGCTTTCGATGTATATGGGGCAGACTTGTATGTCCATCGGGTATAATTGGAATTCCATTTGGCAGGCTATAATTGCATGCATGCGCGCAGCATAGCGTACTGTTTTGTTTTTATACAATGTCACTGAAGTAAATTTGTGCGTCAGCGTAGCAATCTCTACGATAAGGAATCAAAATTCTTATGGTTTTTTTTTCTCACAGAGATTCAAGATTTCTAGATTAAAATATATATATAATAAACTATAACAATGTATTTTTGAAGGCTATAAATAAGAAAAATTAAATAAAAAACAAACTAAAAAAACAAAACTTATTGATGTAGTGATACATGTACGCATATATAAATAATATGTGCATATGTGTAAAAGAAATCAAGCTTAAAATTAAACTTAATGCGAAAAATCAATATTTTTTGTAATTATACGCCATCAGGGTGCGATTGAAAGTAACAATACGTATGTACATATATTATTTACATTGTATAGTCTTCGAAAATATCAAGCCTAAGAATGTAGACTCTCGATCAATTGTATGAATGCATTTGTATATGTTGAAAGGTTGATACTTTTAAGACTTGTATGTGCAAATAAATAAGCAAATAATAGTTATAGTGAAATATAAGAGCCAATTTTTAGAAAATATATTAAACACAACACTTTACCACAACACTTCAACAACATTCATTTCAAATCAGTGACAAAATAAGGCTAATATTATTATAATTTTGAAACGAATTGTACGATGTCAAACTATTTGATAGTGCTTTCGTAGAGTCAATAAATTTTCATTATTTTAACAGAAAATACAAATGATCGGGACTTGTTTATGATAACCATTAAATATTTAAAATGTCATTCATTCATTCATTCATTCGTTACATCAAGGTTATTTCGTTTATATGTATATAAAGGAACAGGACTATTACATAAAATTCCCAATCGCTATGCTTGTTTCTTAAACTAAAATTATTTTAAAAAAATTTAATTATTTTCATTCTTATGACGATCAGCCAGCAAGTAAAAAAAATCAAACAATTATGTCATTAGGTAATTTTTATAAAATACATTTTGAGGAAAGTAGTTTGCAATTTTTTGAAATGACGTGACGAGTGACTCGCAATTTCAATTTTATTTTTTTTTTTTTTAGCTGGAACTAAGCATTGGCCAAAATCAGTTTCAGTCGAAGTTCACTTATGGCTGTTTTTAATTAACTTTAAGTTAAAGAATTCCGATTTTTATATCTGCTAGAAACAAGCATTAGATCAAGTATTGTGTTGGTTGACGGTGTAAGTGTTGCCTTCAATGTAATATTGTGCGAATGACGATAACATGACAGGGTGCTCTTTAGGGGAGACTTTGTGCTTATAAAAAAAAGCCAAACAACTTTCTCACATAAAAAAAAAAATTATACAAAACAAAAATTTTAGTAATCTCTTGTCTTATACTGCGACATTGTCGCCGCCAGGAAGCTGAAAAACATATTCTTTACTTTCATAAAAGCTGTTTTCTTTTTCAGAGAGTACAGATCAAAACGGCAAGCCGCCAGAGAAGATCATTTCACTATGGGCGCAGAACGAAATGTTATTCAATGACCGACCTAATAATAGGTTTGATAAACTAATTACTGGCGAACGATCATTAAATACCATACGCCACTTTGTCTAATATAATTCTTCTCAGAAAATTGTTTGCACGTAAAGGCATACTTTTCGTGAGAATTCTTATACGAGGACGGTCCCAAAACCTAAACTTCTCTTATTGGTTTTCAACTATTTTCGCCATAAGATACTAAAAATTAGATTTTGTTGTCGCATAAACGCCAAATTCTCATGAAATGCTTACATGGAGTGATATCCAAAAAATAGAACCGCTTGGTCCAAATTTTTCATAGTCAATTTCTATGTCAAATTACTTATATCAATCAATTTCCTCATCATAAAATAACAAAAATTACTCATTTTTGTTGCATGAAGGCCTGTTTTTGACGAGAATTTTCATATAGGATGGGACTCGAAAAATTTACCTACATGGTTCGAATGTGGTGCGGTCAATTTTTATGTCGAATTTCTATTTATTTATGAAATATTAAAAATTAGACATTTTTAGTCGTATAGAGGCTTACCTTTCTGAAGAAACTGTTGCACAGAGAGGGATTCAAGAAATTGGATATGCGGATTCAAAAGTCTTCACATCAAATCAGTGTTCTGAAATACTATTGCTTCAGCTTATTTGCCAATTTTTTCATATAAAAACATCTTCAATAGAACGCATTATATGAAAAATGATCGCGTAAATGATCCGATTCAATGTGTTTTTAGTAGCGTTCGTCCTTTGGCCAATGCACCAAATTTTGTCAAAATATCTAAGAAAATGCGTTCTATAAGTTGGAAATAAAAATACATGTTCAGGTATCTGTCGGACAGACTGATGGACAAGCTTGATTTGATTCAGAGAATAGATTTGAATCGATTTAATAAAGGGCGGAATCAATTTAAATCCTACTACCTCACCTGTGGTACATGTATCCACACAAACTTAATATATCTGTTGTTAAAATTTTTTTTTAGAATACAAATTTCACCGCACAAAAGTAGGAAATGTTCACTTAAAGATGAATCTCGGAAACGCAGCCACTGTTTCACTGTTATCATCATACTCTTACAAGCCTTGATATGTATTGTCTCCAAATTTTATGGCTAAAAATAAACACTTCAGTCAACAATTCCCGGACTTGATGTACCTGTGTCCTCTCCATTCAATCAATTACCAACCAATTACGCAAGCGACCTCTGCGAAGATTGTTTTCCGACTTAATTTGTTATATTCAAAACAAGGAAAAGATTCGAATATCATCGTGCTTTGAAAGAATATATCAGATAAGCTTAAAAATTACATTCGATAATTTAAACGGAAAGTAGGAAAGGAGTTAGTTATTGTTATTAGACGTTAGTATCTAACCAAATGTAATCTTATAGTAAAATGGGAGTATCGCTTAGAGTATAACTGAGTGTCGCGAAATAAATTTGGTGTAAACTTATCTGACGTTTAGTTTAATTTTTATTGAAAATAGCTTGCATGTATTTTGATCAGCGGCATCTATTAGTGAAAGTGATAAATAAATGTACAAATAAAGTATCAATGTATAAAACAGACAATTTCGGTGGTTTTGAGCTTTCTCTACTTAAAATAAAAAATTTTCCATTTGGTATTATTACGCTATTCAGTATAAGCAGACGCTAATCATGAGACGCTCAAAATTGCATTTTCAACATAAAACCCATCAAACACTTTCAAAAACCTATGATGATGCTGTTCGATCATATCCCAATTGCTGGTTTCGATGTCACCACCAGGCGGACCAAAAAAGTTCAAAGACAATGCAAGGCTTATTGGACGAATACCCAGCCCAAATTCTCAAAGAACTTTCGAATAACTTAGCAGTTGATAAATCAATCAGCTGTTTCTCGATTTTCATATGCGCTGGGAAAGATCCAAAAGGAGAAAAAATTCTTGGCCATACGAATTGATTTAGAAGAACATTCTGTGGCGATGAAAAGTGGATCCATTACGACAAGCCCAAGCGCAAAAAGTCATGGGTTAATCTGAGAGAGTCATCCACATCGACACTGAAGCGGAATATACGTGGCCATAAAGTTTTGATGTGCATATGGTGGTATCAGCAAGGCGTAGTGTATTACGAGCGGCTGAACCCGAAAGAAACTGTTACTGCAGATGTCCACCAAAGTTAACTGAACAAACTGCAATCCTTGGCCACGCAAGAAGTTGCGAAAGTTCTCAAGGATACACTGTTCTAATTCGAATGGGAAGTTCTGCCGCATTCAGTGTACTCATCACGCATAGCGCGTTTTGGTTACCATTTGCTCAGATCGATGCAGCATAGCTTGGTTGGCATGCGGTTTCAAAATGCTGAAGAATTGCGAAAATTGGTCAACGAATGCATTGCTGCCAAAGCAATATATCGCTTTCGACTCGGTATGGTCACGTTGCCAGAAAGATGAGAATAAAGTTCAGAAAATGATGAAAAATATTTTGATTAACTTATGTAAATTGTATCAATTTTTGTCAATAAATCCTGCTTTCAAGTTAAGAATGTCGGTAAAATGGTCTGTTGGTTAGTGAACTTTCATAAGCACAATCCAGGTTACAATGTATTAATTAATCATCCTTTAAAGGCACAACCCTGGGGGATATGGGGGAAAGAAAAGGACTGTAAATGCGCCGCGACGGAATTTTCTCCTCTGTTCACATTTCAAGGAAAAACATATAGATAAAATAATTTTATCTCCTATGAGATCCAATCTTTGATTCGCTGTGAACGAATTTTGATCAGAAGCAATGCAAATAATAAAAAGAAAATAAGGAAATCATGAAATGAGGAAAAATATACTTGAACTAGTTGCAAAATAATTGAAGACAAGTGTGTGCCAAATTAATAACAGAAAGGCTTATAGTATTGAAATTCTATATAGTTCGTCTCCCCCATATAAATAAACAACTTTTCAAATTCAACTCGATAACAAGGGGAAAAGAGAAAATAAAAATAAAATGGAAAAAAAGGAAAATAAAAAAAATTTGCTTTGGCATGTGAGAGAGCTTATGCAACTTGTTCTATTAAAGGAGTTTGAGTTTATTTTTTTTTAGTTTAAAGAATTATACTTAAAGTTTTTTTGAGATGAAAGTTTTTCTGTTCTTTAATATGTTTGTCGCGTAGCAAAGTGGTTTGGTGTATATAGGGACTTCCGAATCCTAGATGAGTTAAATTCAAGCACAACAAATAACAAAGTTGCGTTAGTAGGCAAATGCATATGTACGCAGACAGTAGGCGGTAGTAGTAGCAGTAGTAGTAGTAGAGTAGTTGATATTATTATTATTATTGTTGTTGTTGTTGTTATTGTTGTGGTTTTAATTTGATTTTGTTTTAATAGGAAATGTGAAAAAAAAATTTGATACGCAATTAATATTAAAATTATTCAATAAAATCAATTGCACAACACATTAATTTCTTATTTTTTGCTCTATTAGTTGGTTCCATTATACCCTACACCATTTCTGTTACAAGGGTGTATTAAGTTTGAAGGCATGTATGCAACATCCAGAAGGACTTGAGATAGACGCAGCTTTTAGTGTACCGATCGAAGTGTGTCTGTCCGTCCGGATCCTTTGTTTTCTTGTGTTTAACCTACAATTCATGATTTTTGAAGTTTGGTTGACAATGACAATGTTTCGGATCGGACCATCTTTGCGACCACTTCGCATGTAATGCCTCATTTTGAAATAATGTTACATGGATAAATGGTGTAGGGTATTGTAGGGCCGTGGCCCACTATAGTGCTTTTACTTGTTTTTAATCTAATTAATGGCAACAAATGAAAAAATTATTTTTATATATACATAAAATCGTTTCATTCAAACTACAATATACATATATATATATATATATATATATATATATATATAGATATTTCTTTTCTTTTGGTGTTCTTTTTTGAACGAACATACATAAATCTATTTAACGTTAATAGTGTATATTTGAAAAGATAAAAAAAACCAAATATTTCCAACTTACCAGCAATTTTTGAATTTAAGAAATAAGGATCAGGTTGCCAAAGATTATCGAAAAATTCTGGAAGTAAAGTTACGTAGTCATCACCTTCTTCAAATATATCGTCGGATATTTCTAAGCGGGATTCCAGCCAACGTTGGTGTACAAACATGTCTACTCTAAATGTATGTAGAGACATATATATAAATGGAATACATACATACATACATGCACAAACTCACATACAAAAAATTTGTTTATAAAGGCATTTCTGATAAACTTACCTAAAGTCCATATCCTCTACGTTTATTGAATTAATATCTACAACAAATATGCTAAAATCTACTATAACAGGAGAACCCTTTTTCGAAGGCGGTCGTATCTCTATAAAAATTGAAGGGAGATAATAAATAAATTCAATTATTATTATTAAAAACAAAAAAACAAAAAAAAAAAAAAAAAAACCTGAAAAAAGCGGTAAAATTTCAATTAGATGGAGAGGGAACTTCACTTAAATACGATTTCCTAATTACTGTTTCGCGTTATAATAATTTTATTTGACACACTTTCCAAAACGAAGAACCTTATACGCAATCACTCTTAATTTATGTCAATCAAAAGAAAAGGGGGAAAGTCTATTAATTTGTCATATCGTTAATGGTAACTATATTGAAGCCTATAGTCGCTTATTTGCCTCGCTAAGCTCGCAGCGAGGCAATTGTTCGCCTTTGTTCGATGTAAACGTATTTATATTTATACACAAATTTGTATGTATGTGTACAACACTTTGAAGTGGTTAATATAAATCCACCTTTTATTAGAATTGCGTTTCCGAGTCGCTTGAATCTTTCTGTCTGTCTGTCATCGAGGGTATCTGATGTCTGTCCATGTATATATAACGGCAAATATCTTAGGTATTTTAATGAAATTTGGTGCATTAATATGTTTAATAGAATCAGTTCTATGGCCAGCCGATCTTTATCAAAAATTTTTATACCCATCATTGTGACCCCAAAAGAAAAGAACCCCAGTTTCCCCATATTGAGCGGGCACAGCTCACTTCTTCTATTTTCGGAGCAAAAATGGAAATTATATGGGAGAAGTGTTGCACGTTATGAGTAAAAAGCAAAAAAGGCGGAAAGAAAAGATATTCAAAGTTTTTGTTGCATAGCCATCTGAACGTTGCAGGCGTGTCCTTTGAAATATTTCGTTAATTTTCAAATTCTTTTGCAAGTTTGCAGACGATGTCGCTTTTGTTGCTGACGGGAGAATGTTTACCACAGATGCTAGATACTAGATAATTAGATATATGGACAGACGAGCAAATGGACAAGCTTAGGCGCATTCGGAATATGAGACTGGCCAAGGATTTTTGCAGCTCGCCGTTGCCGTTATTATGAACGCTTTGAAAAAAAGAAAATAAATTTTGATACACTATAATATTGGATAGTCGACGTTAATTTTTTCCCCTTTTTTCACAGGTACCACGGCATCGTCCATAGAGTGTACATGCAAGATCTTTCACGTTTATCTGCTGTAACTTATGAAAAATTAACCTCTTACTTTTTCCTCTTACCTCTTTTCTAAAAAAAAGAGGCGACCTCACGTCACGTAGTACAATAGGCGTGCCCTTCGACCGATTTGACCGCTTGGCAATATCAACCTAAACCTAAGAACTTGCAACGTTTCTGCCAAACCTGAAGTCGATAGCTTTATTTTTGCGAACAGGAGGACATTACGCGGACGGGCAGACGGATAGACGGTCAGACGGCCATGCTTAAATCGATTGAGAATTTGATGCTGATCAAGGCTATAATAATATAATAATCGGGTTCTGGGCGTGGTAAAGGTTTTGGCAAAGTGTGTTGACCTCGTTATATGGAAAAAATTCGAAGTTTCTCGATAATAGTATTTCGGCATACTAAATTGAACCGGCACTTGGGATTTTTAAATGAGCCCGGTCAATTCTCTCTTTTATTTATTTATTTATTTACCCATCTCCATTCAGCCTTATTAGGCAACATCCTTAGGGCTACAGGGCTTAAATTACATAATTATAAAGCAAAATCTTCAAATTTTTTGCTTAGGATATATTTGTCTTTAAAGTGTTAGCAAAGTGAACTTAAGTCTGAGCGTCAAGACTATGACCTCATGTATCAAAGAATATCAATCAGAAACGCACTAAAGTATTAAATAGGACGTAGACGTAAGTCTATATAACTATGCTATATAGTTACTTATAAGACATTATCTACCGCGTTGAGATTGAGAGTCTAGCCACTGGGCTGTGCTTTATCAAGTTGGACATCAACCTGTAAATCTGTAAATCATTTTCGAACGTACATCGAACGAATCTTCAGCTAAATAATTATGTATAAGATTTCTTCAAAATCTTCAAAAAAGCTCGGGCGAGTAGATCCACATTACAAAAGCAAAAGCTCTTTATTTCGATTACAATTAATAAGGTATGCAGGAATGAGGGGCGTGATTTGAGATTTCATAGGAGTTATTTGATTGGTTGATTCACTTGACAATCTTGGCATTATTACTTCATAAATTCTTACCATGTTGGCAGTTGAACGCAGTAAGAACATTATATTCGAGCGAGGCCCATTTTCGTGGGACTTACTATTCATAAGAAATCTTATATGGAATGGGGCCAAAGAAATAGGCCCAAGTGGATCAAGTTTGGTCCACTTCATTTCTATGTCAAATTACTATTGTGAATATTTTTTCACCATCAAACATTAACAATTAAGCATTTTTCGAGTACGAGGTCTTACGGTTCCTGAAAATTCTTATATGCGGTGTTATTCAAAAAAAAAAAAAATCCAAAGTGGTGCAAATCTGCTAAAGTTTATTTCTATGTCAATCTACTGTTATGAACTAATTTTCACCATGAAATATTAACAGCTATCCCTTTTCACCATATAAAGATACAGGTCTTGTGGGATCAATTATATAAGAGAAGGTTCGAAAAATTGCCGCAAAATTTGAAAATTGCAATTTTATCCACATAGCGACTTTTCAAAATAGGCTGTGGGGAGTGGTTGAAAAAATGGATCGATCCAAACTATTCTCAGCAGTGCTCCCCGTTTGATCAAAGCCCGTCAGTGCAGCAAATTTCATCTTGCTTGCGATAATTTTGGTGATCTTTTCACTTGAGAAAGTCGTTTACTGAGAAAAAATGGGTACAATACACAGTAATCAAAATATTTTCAACATTTCACCGTATGTTTGGCAACATGGCGGTATCGTATCAAAAGAACTTTATTGATTAGGCGGCTACCCAATCATTGCCCTCTTTCGCATTTCTTCAACTTAGCGGAGTCGCGTGGAATCCATGTCTGCTGCATCGACCTGAACAAGTGATATTTAGAGGGACTCATGTCTGATGAGTGCGTTGTGTATGCCACAATTTTCTATTCGAGCTGCAAGACTGTATTTTTGACGATTCTTGGAACAAGTGGCTAAAAAATGGCATTCTCTGTCAATTCGTGTACCCGTTTTTAAACCGTTCGAACCAAAACCGATAGTTGGTATATGACCGGGCAACATCACAATAAGCTTCTAAGCTAAGTGTTTGGTGGTGCGCGACAGCAGGTTTATTCAGCTAAACAGCAAAAGTAATGAATGAAGGTCGAAAATTCGCTCCATGCGATTGGCTTCGCCACGCTTAATAAACAACAAACATATGAAATGAAAAAGTGTTATTTTGGGTAGAGAAAGGTCATAGTCATCGAATTGGACCGTTGCGTACACTGGTATTTCTCATTACTTTCTTATTTTTACCTGATTTTTACCTAATATCTCAAAAATTGCGACTTGTAGCTTAAACCCAAATTTATGACGATGGACATGTAGCAAACAGCTCGGGCAAATAGGTTCAGAAAGTTATACTGAGTCGATTGGTGTAATAAAAGCTGGGTCTATTTTAGGCCCTTCTGTTTGCTATATAAGTCGCCGCAAGCTTAATATCCCCTGTATAAAAAGGATCGATAAACGGATATGATATTTATATTGATTCCAAATTTTATCCTTACTGACGCTCTGCATTTCATAGGACCTTCGCGTATTATATACACAGTTGCAAATGTACAATTTGATAATAAGAAAACTTTTTCAAGTTCGATCCGAGATCAATATGTAGAAGGTTTAAGCTATTCAGAAAGTAAGGAACAGGAATTAAAGAATGCCTCTTATTTCTTCGCCAACTTAGTTGAGATATATCAAAGGGCTCTTTCATAAGTTGGAAGCTTCCATAGGTTGCTGGATATAAATGATTAAGAACTCCTGCGTAATATATAATGGAATGAAGCTATTTGAGACTTTTGTTCGCTAGATATGCTTATGTTCTTGTGCAAAGGAAACGGAAATTTTAGGCGATTAAATTATTTGACCCTGAGACACAAGCAATCGTTGTGTTTAGTCTTGAATGCCAGCGAAAAATAAAAAAAAAATAAAAAATTGTATTTATTTTTTATTTTTACCTCGAAAATCAATACACATGAATGTGTTGGTATATACACTAGTAGTACATATACATAGGTAGGTGTAAGTTTTTAAAGTTGCATTGAAATTGAAGTTAATTTGTAAAAATGTAAACGCATTCCGACTAAGAGGCGGGGGTAAAAGAGAAAATTAAATTACTTGTCGTCATCACCACCCGCTGCTTAAATTAGTTATATACAGATATAAGCAGGTATGTGAATGTGTCAGCAAGGTTCCGTATATATATATATATATATATATATATGTGTAGAAATAGCATTACATTTATGCATATGTGCGTACATAAATATTTATACATGTATACATTAAGCAATATATTTGCACTAATAGGGTTAAATAAATTTTCGTGTTAGCAGTCATTACCAGGGATTGGAAGGTTTTTGTTTTTCCTTTTAAGCGCATAACTCTTTGGCGTTATAACTTACTTACACAATTTTCTATTTTTCATTGTATGCAAGTGTCCTTTCTCCATAAGTATCAAGATCAAGGCAAACAAAACAGCAGTTTGATAATGTGTTTGTAATGTCAATGCTAAAACTATTAAACTTGAAAATTCGACTTAAAAAAAAAAGAGAAGAGAGAACTGGAATAAATAACAGCTCCTTATCTCCCAAAAAAATTGATTTTTATTAGAGAAACGTGTTGCAATAAAGTTTAAAGCTCAGAATAACCTGGAAAGGGTGTATCAAAGTAAAGTAATTTTGAAATCTCGTTCTCATAAGATGGTCAATAATTTTTTTGAGTCCTAAAAGAACATCACAGAAATATTGTTGACAGGCAGGACTTGGAAATAAGGGAAAATTAATCCCTTTTGAGAGTCGACGATGCTTTCACATATTTAATTAAACGTCACTTAACTTACTGCAATCAGTACGTCTGCATTTTAAGTTGAAACGAAAACAAAACTTTCCCATTAACGCCTGATAATTACGCGTGGATTGATCAAAAAATCCCGTGAATTTTTGACTTTCTAAACTATTTATGCGTTCAAAGTAGACCTTCTCCATTACTACACATTTGCACTGAACCAACTTCCAATAGGACAAATTCATTTGCGAGAATGCCTTTACTTTATCTGTTATTCGAAAGGTTGCCCTCTGAGCGCTCTTTTGACTTTCGTAAGTAAGGAAAATTCATCGAAAATACAACGGAAACAATCTTTGAAAATTCTTCAATTTCAGCAGAATTTTCTAAAAGTCATAGTCATAGTCAGCTACAAGTTGCTTCAAATACAAATTACTTTTCCAAAAAACACGTAGCAATGCTGGAAATGGGGGATTGTGTCTGTCTTCACGATCGGCTTCTCTGAGCACCTATCAAATACGAAATGTATTTAAGTGTTTTGTTTTTTTTGTTCATTAGCCCATCAAATGACCAATCTAAGAAGAAGTAAAATCCCCAATAAGATCCCCAACACACGAAACGCTTTCCTTTCTAGAAAAAGCAGACGTGTTAAGCATGCCATTGGACAACTCTATCAAAAACTATCAACTATTATGCATATGCTTCATGACACGGCAATGTTACCCATGGATCTGAACACTTAAAACGTTTGACTTATTAGTCTTTCTTTTTTTTTTTCTAAATATGACCAGTCAGTCAGGAAACGTTACCTTATACGTGCAACAAGACGGCAGTCACAAGGAAGGGTGGAAAAAGAAACGAATAGAGAGTGATTGCGGCATTGTAGATAATTTGAATGAATGATCCTTAAGTGTTATACCTTTACAGGGCGACAAAACTTATTTGATTATATTTTTTTCAAGAATTTGAGCAACAGGGGACAACAATGCCATCACATTTTGGACCACCTTTATTAAGAAAGTACACAATCTCATGAATTTACATATTTCTTACTTAATTTGCATATTTCGTACATGTTAACGGGCATTGTCTCATTGCATAGTTAAATTCCGAAACTCTAGTAAAAAAACGTTTGTAATGCAATGCACTGTCAAGCTCATAAATCCGTAAAAAATTAACTAAACTAAAGTGAAATTTTCCACGGATTTGTTTATGTGTTTTCTGAAAATTGAAATATTTAATACAAATTTGTCCTTATCTCTGCGTCTTAAAAAACGTAGGTTTAAGCCGATTGATGGATAAGTTTAATGATGAGTGTTTCTAAGCGACCGTAATCCTTAATTTTATTGGAAAAAATTTATATATTCCTATAGGTTCGCATTGTTATTTGTGTAATACTTACCCTTGACATAATTGGGCGGTAATACAACTCGTGGCTTTGCCGTATAATTCACATAGGCTTCTGTTGATTCGGTTAACCTGTAATTGAAATGTCACACTTATATAATTGCCAGTGTTGTTATAAAGTAATTAACGTTGCAGGGAAAGTATTCGACTATTTATAGACTTGTGTGCATATGTAACATATAGAAGGGCTTGAGATGGACCCACCTTCCGATCATTTCCCGAAGGCTGCCCGTCCGTCTAATGTCTGTCCATGTGTATTTGTGTACATGCTACTTACGTGCTTTGACGCAAGGAGGAAAGCTATTGAAAACCGTTTCGTCTCCCCATAGAAAGCCCTATCTTGAAAAGTCGTTACATGGAAAAAAATCGCTCTCTAATAATATTCGAATTGAAAGATTCAGCCGGGCTGAAACAATTTTTGGGACCCTCTGTCATATAACCTTTCCTACGAAAACTGAATATTAAAATAGTGACTAAGTATAATTTGTAATACTTCATTTTAAAAATTCTTTCATAATAGTTAATCAACCTTACTGAATTTGGAACACGTAGGTCAATTTTTTGAATACCATCACATATAAGAATTCCTCTAATATATGGGCTTTCATGAAATGTATACTTTTGCATGAAAATAATGCGTAACTTTTGGTGTATTGTTGCCAGAACGAGTCAATAACCGCTTTAGATGAAGTCTTGAACGGTATCTAATTGTCGGCGTTGCCCGACTACAATGTTGTTAGTTGCTAATATATTTTTAAAAGAAAAGTTTGAAAAATAATATTTTGGCTTACCAAATGAATGTTGAAAATTTGCATGAGATGGGACAAGAAAGTTTAACTTTTAACATCTTATGACTTCGATTTCTAAAAGACTTGATTGATATATTTTGTGGAATTTTTCTTCTTTCAATGGTAATTAAACTGTTATATGGCAAGGAGGAGTACCTTTTGGTGTTCTATAGCAAACATAACTCGAAGAAAATGTATTAAGATGAACTGGTGTGGCTTCAGTCGATTCCAGTCTTCTATAACATAATAAATTTGTCCCGCATTATATGGAAACCGCGTTACATGAAATTCAGAATTTATTGAAATTAGAAAATGTGGGCTGTGGAAGCCGTATTAAAATATATATAAAATAAGGAAAAAGTAAATTTAATTATGTAATCATATATAGAAGTCAGTGACGCGTTGTGTGGAAGCCTCGCTATGAGAAACTCACATTTAGCACAAATTAAATGAACTCGTATCGCATTCCGTAGAATCCGGGAAATGACAATGCAGTCATTCATATAACTTTGCACACGGGTTATATTGGAGACGGCCTAAAAAGTAGTCTGATCCGAACCATTTTCAATAGCGTGCGTCCTTGGGCCAAAGCACATCAGTGTATCGATTTTGAAAGAGAATAAGACGGACAGACGAATAGAAAAGCTTAAATTGATTTAAAAAACTGCTTCAAAATCTATCCGCATAACCAAAAGTGGGCGTGTGCCCAGCCGTCCTATGTGTTGTACACATCCGCACAAGCTTGATGGACGTTTGTATTAGAACTTGTCTAGAGTTTTACGTAATTCACTGACAAATGGAATTGGGAATAGTTTGTAGAAGTCCACAGTGAAAATTAAACACATCCAGATAAATTCTTTACGTTATTTCAGGTTTCGGATCGTAACATATTAAAACTTAAAACTTTTCTGCCCTATAAAAATTCAATTTTCGTGAAAATGCTTACATATGGTAGTAGTCAAAATATTGGCCGAGATTGCCCAAATTTGGCACAGTTCATCTTTTTTTTTTTTGTGTTATTATTATGATCCCATTTTCATCATGAGCCACTGAAAATTAAACCATTTTCTTATACGACAATTTTTTGTCGATCAACCGATCCAAAGCACTTTCAATAGCTTTTGTTATTTGGACGAGGCACGTCAGTGTACCAAATTAAAATAAATAAAATATCTTAAAAATTGCGAGCTTTAGCTTGAACATAAATTTGCATGAACTGAATCATTCTCAGAAATGATTCAGAGTCCGTCTAGGCAAACTTAACATAACTTATGTCAGACAAGTTATGCAGGGTATAAAAAGCCTTATAAGAAGACACGCTATAGTGGAACTCTCAAAATTTCCCCTTTTGCTCGTATGAGAATTGTCCTATAAGTGCACCACTTTCTAAGAGACTTGACGGTAGTTATGTATAGATTTGAGGTTTGTGATGTTAAGTATCAACAATTCTGCTTAAAGAGATCAGATTTTTCTCACTTAGTTAGTTCCTCGTCGTTTATTAAAACTTTAAGCACCATTAGTGAATATAACGCACCCAAATTTATTGTTGCCGATGGTCTACTGGTGGTAGTGTGTGTGAGTTAAACATTAGAAAAGTGGAATTGTACGCAGACGGTAATCATTTAAACTAATTTATGTGTTAGTCTATTATCACTTATTGATTAAACAATAGATTTAAGTGTAAAATGCGAAACACGTAAATAGTTTCCTTAACTAATACCGATACGCCCAGATTGAAGAGTAGTAAAAAAGCGGGAATGACTAAGAGCTTGAGGCCGAAAAAACGTGAACGAACGGAAAGATGAATTTGTCATTTTCTTCTTTTTTTTTTAGTCAAAAAAATGTTCGCTTTTGCTTTTCTTTCCTTTTTTTTTTTTTGTATTAGCTACAGATAGAACCTAACAAGTCAATGCGATCAATGATTGATTTGCTTTAAAAATATTGTTAAAAGAAGAGACAAAGAGTAATATGCGAAATATATCCTAGATTTAATAATTATTATATACTAATATTAAGGGCAGTTTTGTTAAATGATGCAAATTGAAAAGGAAAAAAGCAAACAATTCATGCTAGGTTGACATTAATAGAGTTTTTAGTTAGACATAGTTTTCTTTTTCCTTCTGCTATTTGCCTTTCTTTTTTTTTTTTTTTTTTGTTTCACACAACCTTGACTACATTGTCAACAATTTTGATATTTTTAAACTTATCTAGGACTAAACGATATCGATTATTTTTTACTATTTAACATATTGTGGAAGCAAACTCCATTTGGTTTGAACCGAACAGCTTTCGTACTCTTTCACTTATTGAATATGGAAGTTAAATGAAATATATATATGCGTTGTTAAGAGCGTATTGAATGAATGTAAACGTAATCTATTCTGTAAGCGTAAGCATCGTATGGGACGACTACGATATAACATTTATGGCAAACGGACGTAGCTTGTCTTACTAAGCTTGCTGATGTATGTTTAACAGATTAACTGGAACTTGAGAGAGATCGGATTAGAAATAATGACAAACTTAGTGCATAAAAGATTGGTTATCGCAAGCGAATTTGTGGACCGATATATACTTCTTTGAAGGTTTAGCTGGTGGAAGCACAGAAGCAGTACATCAAGTATGTATATGTCAAGCTTCCCACATTCAAAAAGTTAGGCTTATGACGCTATGAACATCGTGTACAGTATGATTTACATTGCCTGGGAAATCTTGTATGGGGTGGTGTCCTAAAACCAGATATATGTGATCTAAATTCGGGACGATTGACTTCTTTAGCAATATGCTATTGTGAAACAATTTTCACCATGAGTTATTGAAAATTAAATATTGAATTGTATCGTATAAAGAGAGACTTTTGTCGGGCAATTTGAAAAATATGCAATTTTTGGTGAGGGGAGGGTGCTGAAAAAAGTCCAACCAATCCAAATCACTTTCAATAGCGTTCGGTCTTGGGTCGACGTACACCAGTACCCAAATTGGCGACCTGTAGGTTGAGCACAACAATACCTGGACACACAAACTTTATTCGATTCACAATTATTTTAAACAAACCCATTTTAAGCCCTTTCGGGTGTTACGTATGTCCATACGGCACAAACTTAATATACTCTGCACCACAACACATTTGAAATAATTTTTCATTGAGATGAAGCCTTTGCCTGGTATAGTGGTAAAATTGAAAGAGTTACACTACAATCATATTCCGCCATGACTGATATTCCGCTTAGCTTTATCTCATCTGATCTCCCAAAAAATTCTATATGGTTCTCATAAAACATATTATGTCTACCGGAAAGTTTTGTCCACTCTGGTTACGGTTCACTTCCGGCACGATTTCCGAATTACAGGGAAGAAGGAAGATTGGCCACAGAAACGTTTAGAAATTTATTTAAGATGTTTGCTGAAGATACAGTTTCTAATAGGACAAGGAGAAGATGGTTTGAACAATTTCAAATAGGCGATTTTGACCTTTGTGATAAGCCACGCTCTGGGCAATCTTTAATCGATGACTACACTGTCAAGATCTTCTTAGAGCAAAATTCTTTCCTGACAACATTGGAGACAGCAGAAAGGCTTGAATGGGTTCAACAAACGATTGTGGACATTATTCGGAAATTTTTTTCATTTTTTTTGTTTCATTCTAAAAACGGGCAGAACTTTCGTGTAGATCTGTTCTATGAGATGAGGAGGAGAATACTTCAGAGACATTACAAACAATTATTTCACAGATTTGACAAACTGTACCGCTTACTACCCTCCCTTGCAGCCATCATACCCACGCTTGCACGAAGCTCTCTCTAAGAGACTAGTCAAATAGACAAAAAAAAAGAAGACATTATAGTCGTAAAAATTAAAAAATAAATAAATAAATAAATTTTTTTTTACAGTTCAATTTTTAAGTCTTTTTTGGACTGCTTTTGTATGAAATATGTGTCATAGTCGGATTAGTCCGATTGTTATATGCTCTACACCACATGGTGTAAAACAATTCTTACTTTTTCCATAGCTTTTATGTGAACTTGCTATTAGGGATCTGTATATTAAAAAATAGACCCCTTTGCAAACAATGGCTTACTTTCCGTAAGAATCCTTCTGCCTAATAGGTTTATATATATAGATACATGTTCGAAATTCACCGCAGTTAATTTTTATATCATGATTGCTATCATAACATATTAACACTTAGACACTATAAAGGATCAATTTTCGCGAAAATGCTTATATAGGGTAGGAGTCAAAAAACAGGCGCGAATTGCCCAAATTTGGCGCAGTTAATTTTTTATCTTAAAAAAGCACTGAAAATTCGACCTTTTTGGCATATAAATTTCAGTTTTCGTTATGTAAGAGGGAGTTCAAAAAATGGCTTCAGCCAGTCCAAAGTTTTCACACTAATTTAGAATATCGAAATACTTTTACTTAGTCATTTTTGTCTAGAATTTTTGAAAATTGTTATTTCTTTTCATATAATGACTTTTTAAAATAGAACTTTACATAGGGAGTGGTCGAATAAGTCGAACCGATCCAAACCATTTTCAATAGCGTTGTTTCTTGGATCAAAGCACGTGAGACGGGCAGACACGTTTACGTTATCATAATGAATGTTGGCTATATTTAAAGTCCTTCTGGGTGTTACCTACGTCCGCATTAACCAAATACCACAAGTGATGCATAGTACGAAAGACTAATTAAAAAATTACATATTTAAAAATCTATTAAAAAGAGAATACGATGAAGGGCAAATATAACTTCACCCGTTAATTTTGCAGTATGCAAAAATTAGGCTTCGAAATTTTTGAATACAAATCAATGCTCAGAAATATTGGAATACACAGTCGCTTTAGAATTTGATTCGATTTAACATGCCCGTGCGCCCAAGGCCAGTCTTGAGAACATTCACGGCCGAAGGAAGAAAACTGAAACTTGGATTCTGCATCGATACAGCAGAACGCGTTCTTCTTGCAAAGTCTCTTATAATCGCTCAGATATTGGGTAGAGGTAGAAAAATTAACATTTCAAAGTATTACCCTATCTTGAATAATGAATATTTTCTGCATTGGGCCAGCTAATCCCAATGCAGAAAATCGAATGTTATGCATAGATTTCAAATATGCTGAAGTGTTCAAAAAATAAGGGGAATTTATATCTTCAGACTTTTTTTATGGTAAGATAATGAAAATAATAGGGATTATTATCCCCCGATGAGAACAATCAATCGACTAATTAATGGGACAATAAAAAAAAGAGAATTGATTGCTAAATAGGGGGTACAGTATGCGATGCTCTTTCAATCTTCTTATTGCATTGGACTTACGTAGAAGAGATATTATCAAGGATTGAGGTGAGTACTCAGGCTGACAAGACATTCTGAGCAAATGTGTTGAATTTCGATTTTTGGTAAAAGGAAAACCGAAGGCATAATGAATAGTTTTGTTGTTAAGGAACCACGCGGCGTTAACAATACGAGGAAGAGTCTTAAATTAATATTTATTTCTTTATTATTTATACATTTTTTAAACAAATTTACAAAATATGGTTCCAAGATGCCGGATAACTAGACCATACGCGCCTGTAGACGTTATGAGCAACAAAGGTTAAGCAGGCTAAACGTTAAGCAGATAATTAAAGGAATATAAAAAAAATAATAATAATAATAAATAAAAAAAGACGTTGGGTTTTTTCGCTCGACACTAAATAAACGCTTGTTAAACCTGGTCCGTTGGCCAAACGTAGATATTTAACAACTCAAAAAACATAGCGACATTAACATTGGATTTTTTTCATATAAGGAAGTAGGGATACGAAGCGTAAAAACAGCGTATCATTAATAATTAATTTTTGGTGGGGGTGTCCTTTTTGTTTAATAACGTCATTTAAACATTTTTCACATATTTTGCATACCTTTTCTTGCATAGGAAGCAGGGATCTCTTCCGAGAAAACACGTTTCTATGTTCATTTTCTTCGTCATACTTGCTGATCAGAGCAAATGCAACGTCATTCTATTAAGAATTAAGCGTCTTCCCCGGCAAAATCAAGTCTTACCTTTCTTTTACGTCCCTTTACCAAGGGCTTACGGTGAGCGTGGCAATGGTCATGTTACAGTTTGGGTATGCATTAGAGCCAATGGAGTCGAAAAATTTGTGTCCATGGATGGCATTCTAAACCAGGAGAGTTGTATAGGGATATTGAAGGAAAATTTGAAAGAAAGTGCAGAGAAACTTGGTACTCAAATTCTACCAAGGTAACGACCTCAAGCATAATCCTCGCTTAATTCAAGAATGGCTCTTATGTAACTGCCCGAAAGTGCTCTACCCTTTTCACCAATCATCCGGCGTGAATCCCATTAAAAGTATGTGAGATGAAGTAGGTGTGCGGAAAGATTCAATCTCGTCCCTCCAAGATCTAAGAAATAGGCTACGAGAAGAAGAATGGAATAAAATCCCTGTTTCCTATACAAGAAAAGTTATTAAGCAAATCGAACGCTCCACTTAATATTAATTTTTAATAATATGTTGTTTTTTTATATGAAAAAGGTCCAATAATAATGTCGCTACGTTTTTTGAGTTGTTGAAGTCATTTAATTGGCTTGTGTGCTAGAGTAAAGTTTTGTGTGTGTGTGTGTGTGTGTGTGTTTTTTTTTATTTTTTTATTTTAATATGTATCCCCCTAGTAGCACGGACTAGGTTTAATAAGCGTTTATTTTTTGTCGAGCGAAAAAACCAAATATTAATGAATCTCACTGTACGTACATTATGGAACTGGAGAAATTGAAATGATAAGTTAAATATTACCTAGGCGTGTATTCGAAGAAAAAGGCGCCCCTTCTTGAAGTTGATATTTTTCATGTATTTTAATATTAAAGTTACCGGGTGTTTCCTACAACTGTATGCTTTAGGTTCAGATAGGTCTTGCATAAAATGAATCTATTTTCTTATCTTCAGATTATGCACCTTTTGAACAGTAATATAAATATTTTTTTATTCGATTTTATATAACTTCCATGAACAACCGACGGAAGTTTCATGTCATCCGACTCGTTTGTTTACAAGCTAAAGCGTCCTTTGACGGTGCTGGAAATTGCTGTCGGCGACTTGTCACAATGAATAAATTTATTGAACAAAACAAACTTCCGTAAAGAAAATCAAGTTGCTTTTGTGGAGAGCCATTGAAAATTTTGCATTGCAATATTTGCAAGTCTTTATTACGTACGGACGAGGCCGGCCATTAGATATCCTACATCACTTGGCCTAATACAGGAATTCACTCGTTTCCGTTATAATGCATCAAAAATTATGCATTACTTTAATGCAAAGGCATGCTTTTCATGAAAGCCCGCATATTGGGGGAAGCCCCACATGATTTGATCCAAATTTATCAAATTTAATTTAATATCTAAAAATTTTATTATTTTCAGTTTCCGTTATAGAAAACTGAAAATTGCACTTTCCCTCCACGTAAGGACTAGCTTTCCATGATAACCCTTGTATATCTTAGGGTCTAAAAAATAGATTTTTACGCTCCAGCTGCCCTAATATCCATTTTTTTTTTATTAATTTTGCACTATGGACTATTTTCATCATGAATTGAGCCTTTTTTTGAAGGTCTTAATATTCATCAGAAATCTTTCATAGAGTGGGGCCCAAGAAATAGACCTATATGGTTCAAATTTGGTCCAGTTACGTTTTATTTCTCAAATTACTCTTATAAACAAATTTTCATCATAAAACATTAATTATACAGTTTCACATTTCGAGGGAATCCTTACATACGACGGCTTGCAAAAGTTGGACGTACGTGGTCCAAATTTGGCATTTGGATTGATCTCTATGTCAAGTTACTCTTCGCCGTGAAATGTTGAAAATAATTCCCTTTTACCGTACGAATATCAATTTTTGCAAGAACGGTTATATGAGAGGTAGTTTAAAAAAGACGAACCAAATTTTTCATACCAATTTGGAATGTCGGAGGACTATATTACTCAACAAGTTTTGTCGAAAAATTATGAAAGTCGCCTTATTTTGAAAAGTCGTTATATGGCGAGTGTTCGAAAAACTGGAATGATTCGAACCAAACATGTCATCTATACGTTGAATACAAATACACATGAACAGATCTTGGACGGACAGGGGAGTAGACGGTGTAGTAAAAGGTGGTTCTATCTTAAGACGGTGTGGGTGTTATGTACTTCCGCATAAACTTAATATACCCTGTAACACAAGTGGTGCAGTGTATAAATATCATCAACGTCAAGTATCTTATATCCTGCGATGATCAGTTGAATGTTCAGTTAATATCAACATATGGAACATCAGCTTACATTAAAGAGTATTTAAAGAATGATTGGCAATTGCCCTGTTGGCCGCTCGTGTTTTTCCAAAATAATTCAGTAATTGTTGGTTTGCCCATGTTTCCAACAAATATCAAGCTGGTGGGCTTTTACTAGGTGTGGCATTCTAACTGATTATTATTATGACCTAAGACGATTAAAGAGAGTTCTATGGCTGTTTAAAAGTTTACTCTGGATCAGACGTTCGAGGTTATTAATGAACTAATTGATTGACATGAAACTACTGTCAAGTATTGACGGAACCTAACAGATAAAGAATGCGTGTTTTCAAACTGCCTCCTTCTCCTCTTTCTGAACGTAGCCTTATATTGACGCATGATTTCGTTGCACTACAAGTGACTGCTCTTTTCTTCAAAAATGATTTCAATTTGATAATGACCCGAATACGCTACACAGGTAAAAGACTAAATTGAGGAGGACTCTAAGGTCAAAGGATTAACATATCGCCATTGGGTCGTCCTTAATAAGCCAAAGAAATCTTAAAAATAACATTAAATACCTTACTTAGTCTTATAGATCGTATAAGAAGACGAAATAAATAAATATACAAAAATAGCTATTGTTGAAAAGTTTCTGATAGCGTACGGGTGAAGAGTGAACAAAGATTATTTTGAACTGAAGTTTGTGTTCCTATCATAAATGTATTTCAGTGCCATTAAAGTGGAAAATTTAATGCAAAAATTGCAACTGCATGTCTGGTGTCTATGGCAACTTTAACGACAACGACGTCAACGAAAGCTATAAAAAAAAAACACATAATAGCAATAATATAAAATATATTTAAATTTCAAATTAGTTATGGAATTGGATACTGGCATCTAGTATTTTGTCTAAACTATATATGGACTTTATTGTTTTTTTCTTTTTGGATACTTACCACATGAGAATGACACCAAAACCGATTGAGAAAAATATATTCGCATAGTTGTCCAACATTATTATGATGATGGTAAATGAAACAAATCATAAAATTAAACCTCAGATCATCTCCGCTTACAACGATGTGCAAAATTCATAATTTTTAATTTTATTCCTTTTTTATTGATTATTTTTTTATTTTTTTATTTTTATTTTTATTATTATTTTTTTTTTAATAAGTAAATACAAATTGAGTATTATGTGTTAAAAAGAAAGAAAAAATTCGTAGCACAAATAGTTTTTATAATAATGTCTACTACATTTATTCCATAAGGACACTGGTTGGACTCACAGTTTCGTAAGTAAATATTATGTTATGTTATGTAATTATAATTGTACGCACTGTTGTTGTTATGACGTTTAACTATGTTTAAGAAGGAGAATTTATTTCAATATCACTCAACACACATACACAGACACATGCATGCACATTAATTTAATCATCTAAAAGCTATTAAGAAATAACAACAAAACGGAAATTTTTTTGTTGTTTTTTGATATTTTTCTCAGTTAATTAAACAGGACAATAAGTTATTACGGTAGCGTGTCTGCGTATATCTTTAGTACTGTTTACTTAAATGGTCATTTATTGAATAAAAAACAATAAAATTATTTAACTGTGAAAGCGGGCGGTTTGATGATCATCACAGTTTCAAATACACTAAATACAGAAAATATTTATCTATAAAGAAAATAGTTTATAAAAACAAAAACAAAAAAAAAAAAAGCAATCAAAACATAACAGTCACCTACACACTAAAACAATAGGCTCAACTATTTTATACTGTAGCTAATAAGGAAGAGATATTGTGCTTAGAGCGAACCTTGGACACACTACAAATTCGAAGAACGTTTTTCCTTTATGAACTTTTGGATGAGATACGCGATTAGCCGATGGATAGTAAAATGTTATATCTTTCGATCGATTTTTTTTTTTTTCCGACTTTGTTCGAATTTCAGAAAATTTGCAATTTTATTCTGCAAGAATGTGTGTCAGTTTTATATCTCAATTTTTACGATTTAAAATGTAGCGAACGGACGAGCCAATAGATAGTTCAATAAATATAATCGGATGAGCAGACCTACGAATGGACAGATAAACTTACAATAAGAGACACACATAGATGCCAGCTGCAAAGATAATGAAATGGACAAGCGAACTGATGGGTAGGCGTATGAATGGACGAATTGATAGACTTAGAAATAAATGTACAAACAGAGTCATAAAAGACCATGCGTAGGAAAAGATGAATGGCTGCGCTGAAAAATGACCAATTAATTGGCAGAATTATTCAGAAAGGCTTATAATTAGGCGCCTCAATAATAGAAGTAGGGACATAAGTATTTGCTGATAATCATACGTATAGACCTACGGACAGAAGTGGATAGAGGCACGAATAGTAGAAGTAAATATGCGAGAAAGCGTATTGGTAGAAAAAAAAAACAGGTGCTCTTGTAATAGTAAGGATACGTGTACAAATAGACCTAAGGATAGACGCACGGACAACTACCTAAAGGTACATATATATAGATAGACATACAAACCCATAACGTACCCATAACTATATCCAAAGGGGTACGGATAAATGTACAATATAAGTAGGCGGATATGCGAACCGTGGTCGAATGGGCATACGAATAGTTCTAGGGAACAGACGATTGGATGGAGATATCGAAATAATTACAAAGAAAGATGCGGATTGACCCATGGTACGTAGAGATGTAAATACAAACGTGCAGATATACACATTGATAAACTAACGAACTGACATAGGAAAGGAAACATAGAGAGAGGCACGGATAAATGTATACATAGATATACATACATATAAAGATAGACGTGGAGAAACTGAGATACGAAAGGAAAAATGCATTGATAGAAGTGCGGATAAACGTACGGATAGTCGTACGGATACATGTACGGTTGGATATAGATATAGATTACGGGTAGAGGTATCGACAAAATAACAGGCAAGAAGAGCGGTGGGCCGGACATGTTAATTGATGAAAAGTTCGATGTGCAGATAGACGTAAGCAAGGATGTACGAATAGTTGAACGGACGAAAGGCGTAACGAACGGCGCATGCACCCATAATTGATTGAACAGGTAATTACAGGAGGAGGATTGACGCCTAATTAGAGCCTTATCGACAGATGCATATAGGGGCACTTATGAAATATGCCGTCTTCGTAAAGGTGGTTGAAATTTGTCAAATATTTTCTGTTAGTAATTTCAGATCATTTACACATCCTTTCCTGCAACGTTCGTTCGAAGCACGAAAACATGCATCGAAGATTCCATAAAAACGTTCTGTTTTGCTTTATCATCTTCGCTTCTCTGTGATCAGCTTTCTGTAACATGCTACGAAATGCTGAAATCAAATTTGAAAGCAGATATGATCCAAAGATCTTGAAAATGTAGCAGAATTTGCTTTCAAAAATGTGAAACGAAGGTTTATTCATTAGATACAAGAAATTAACAAACAAATGCAGCGCATTGCTCTCCTGGGTTCTTTACGGGATCTGTATGCGTTGCAAAAGCAATGACAAAATGAAAATGTTCTGAAACTTGTGAGTGGTGGATGTAAAAACATGCTGATATATTATATTTATATGTGAACTTGTGTACACGTAAATCTTGCTTGCGGTCACTGATATCTATTAAAATAACGTGGCAATTGAATCGCGTGCCGGTTTCATTTAAACGATAGTTCTCTTCTTTATTATTTTATTCTTTTCTTAAGCCTCAATATATATATATATATATATATATGTATATATATATATATATATGTATATACCTAAGTGTACTTATGTGTATATATATTTTATGTATATAATGTGTATGTGTGTTTGTTTGTTTGTTTGTTTGTTTGCTTGTTTGACTTCGGAAATATATGCAAAACACTTAAGCTATCTTCAACTAATTGGTGACGGCGGTGATGATGGTTGCTGCTGACTAACAGATTTCACACAAATTGAAAGATGTTCTTTTAATAAACTGCCAGCGTTTTTCCTTACTATTTGACAACTGCATCTTATGTGTATTGCTTGTATAGTAAATATATTTATATTTAAAAATTGTTCCGCACAACACGAGGCATTATTATGCATCCAGACGCTATAAACGTTCCATATGAAATTTATTAGTATTTTTGTAACACTGTTTGCCCGAATTTTATTTTTTGACAACTTAGCACTTTTCCAATGGGGTGATAAATACTGTTGTGCCCGTTTCTCACTATTCAATTGTTTGACGTTCATCGTTTCATCATGCAACTGACTGACCGAAAGTTCAATTTAGGTCAATTGAAGTTATACATCCTCGTACAACTAACCTGATCCCGATCTATAATTGAGCATTTGGTAGACAAGTGTAAAAGCTTTTTGGTTTTTCTCACTTCGCCGAGCATTCGATCGCTTTATCTCAAAACGTGAAATTGAACAATCCTGAGCAGCAAACTTAATGTTACTGCATTTTCATTAAACCATATTAGGGATGATAAGGGTTTTCATTGCAGAATCATTTTATGCAAAAAAATAAAAAGTTTCAGTTCAGAAACATCATGTTTTGATCAAGACAAAAAGCAAAAGATTTTTTCGAAATACAATTATACCTTACACCGCATGTATCTATGTATGTTGTATGTATATATTTACATATTTGATTTTACTAAAATTCTATGCTCATTTTGCAGTGACATCATTATTACCGCTCAGACGAACCCTTATGGGTTTTTTTTCTTTGCATAGACTAATTTCGTTGTTGAGCACAAAGTAATGGATCAGTTTCTCGAGTTTATTGACGCGACACGAATCAATTTGTTGAAATAATTTTTTTATATAATTTTAGACATATTTGGACATTGGTTTAGGAAATATTAAAAAAAAAATTTGTTTTTTTATTTAATTTTTCAAAAGCAAAAAGCCTTTGAGCCGCATTTCTACAAATCGTCTAATATTCAAACAAAAAAAAAAGAAGTGGCATAGAAAATCGAGATGCATCAACAATTGCATGCAGCATAATATCTCTTAAAGTTGAACTCTCAGGGCATTTTTTAAGACATAAAAGCAATGATGAGAAAACGTGCGTGAACGCATTATCCCTTAAATTATTCCATTCAATAAGTCCTAGATGCGCAATAGCATCACGTAATACCACTTGGCCATAATGCTTCTCAATAAATCTTATTAAGATTTGTTAGCGCTTTTTGTTTTCATATCTTTTATAGGATAATGTGAGCTCAATATTTTTTCTTTTACTACACGTTCTTTGCATTTTCCTCTTTTTTTTTTGTAACAAAAACAATTTGGCCAGCGTAATCCGTTATGAAAATGTGACCAAAAATCTTACGCAAAAACGATGTGAGAGACAGCGCCGCTGATTTATACATGAGGTGACGACAATGGTAAGGGGGGAAATATAATATAAAAATTGTAACAGAATTAAATTCAGATTTCAAATTATCAGATATTTCCCATCCATAGGCGGATCTCTTAGAAAATAATTAACAATATTAAAGAAGAAGAGTATGTCTCCTAATGTATGTGTAAGTATGGTGTTAATGGGATGTGAAAAGTCGGCGAAGTTCACTGCACGAATAACCGTTATCGGTTTGAGTTCAGGCGATGTATACTTTCTTGCATTACCAAAACGTAATAAACTTAATATACATTTAGGATGAGTACAACTAATAGCGAGATGAAAACGAGAAATGCAATGAAGTGCGTAAACCTATGACGTTGCACTAACTTTGCCGCGTTGGAATATCGAGGATATTACTTTATTCTTCTTCTTCTTCTTCTTCTTCTTTTGACCGATTTCATATCATAAAGGAACGAAATAGCTCAGTTACTATAAATTTTATACTGGGATGGTATTTGGAATGCTCAAGTCTAGTCGACAGGCTTTCAATTCTTGAATGTTAGACAAGCAAAAAGACCATGATGGACTAAGGCCCATCATTACGCCCTAAAGTGATCGAAAATGTGGTCCATTAAGAACAGTTTTATTGTTCTTGGGCCAAGACATGTAAACGTACTAAATTTGATCAAAATATTTCGAAAATTGTGACCTGTATCTTGAGTCCAACAAAACAAGGTGAACAAGGCGACAGACAAACTCATATTGAGAACGTGATGCCCATATAATAAAAG